CAATGGTTTAACAGGTAGAAGTGATATATGTTATATGTTTTATTTTTATAAAACTTATTTACATCTCCCTGGTCTGTTTATCTTAGTGAAGGAAAACGTTAGAAAGCAGAAATTATGTGGCATCTCTTACTTCCAGTACTACAAAGGAGAGTGGCACTTCCTAATGGGAGTCCTGGGATGACACCCACATCCAGCTCATGTAGACCCATCAGAGGTCCCTGTGGTGACCCTGAGGGGGTCTGGAAAACCACACTGCTGCTGCAGCAGGTGCAGTATTTGTTGTGGTGGGCTGCATCCAACAAGGCTCCACCAGTGACCAGACCAAGCAACACAGCCTCAGGTGCCAAAGCCAGGAGGTAAGGCAAGGAAGACCCCAAGTCCTGCCTGCCATGTGTGTGGCCTGCACTGCCAAGGCCAGACCCATTCCTGCTTTGGATACCAATGAGGGTAGGGGATGAGCCCACTGCTGCCAAACGGAGCATCCCCGGAATGGCACCCAGAGCTGGGCCCATGTGGACCAGAAGGACAATGGAGGAGGCTACACAGCAAAGCCAAAGGGGCTTTGGGCCCCCAGTGCTGCAGCTGGTGCACTGCAAGTCCAGGCTCCTCTGGCACTGATGGGCATATGCAGGGATGGCACCTTACCCGAGATCACAGGGACCAGAAAATGGAGGTCCGTGGGGATGCTGAAGGGGCTCCAGGGTGCTCAGCTGCCACAGCTGTCACAAGCCCGCTGGCAGAAGGGCCAGCACACGACTCTAGTCCCCATTCTGCCCTAAAGTCTGAACCAAGGCTGGGCTGCCTGGCCCCAAGGGGGTGAATTGTCCACCAAGCCTTCCTTCTCCTGTGGACTGTGCAGTATACAAACATGGTGTCTTCCACCCCACACCCATGGGGGCAGGCAGTTACCCCACAACAGAGTCTCACTGGGATGGCACTTGCACCCAGGACCACCGCAGACCAGTACCAGCACACCTGGCAGAGGAGAGGGAAGCAGTGGACTCAACTCCAGCCCCATGGCTGCCAGCTCCTGGGTGAAATGGAACAAGTGAGACTGGGAAGGGAGGTGGGCAGGGTGGGCAGGGCTCATCTGGCAATGCTGAGGACCATGCACACACACATCCCTTCACTGCACATCCACCACAAGGGAGGGGGCCCCACTTCTCAACGGGTGACTTGAAGAGGCCCCACACCCACAGGGACTACAGAAATGGAAGTTCACGTGGTGATATTGAAAGGGTTCCAGGGTACAGCCTTGCTCCTGCACTGATCAACTGGCACAAAAAAAAAAAAAAGGAAAAATGACCACTACACCTTTTCATCAATGATAACCTATTATACTTTCAAAACAGTTTTACTTTCCTCTTGTCCTATATTGTTGCATGGGACCCTCTGAATTAACCAGAAGTCTCCAGGATTTCTTCATGCACAGTAATACAAATAAATATAGCTTCTATTCTTCTTTGAATTAAGGAAGGTTGCATTTAGTTCTTTCCCATGTTTGATTCATGAAAAAGAAATCCTAACATGTATCTGTAAAACACAAAACTCATGCTACCCAGAGAGAAATAATCACATGATTAGTGGTTCAAATGATATTTCATCTTTGCATTTCTTTAGAAAACTGCATACTTGGGGCTGGGAAGGTGGCTCAGTGGTAGAGCGCTTGCCTTGCATGCATGAGGCTCTGGATTTGATTCCTCAGCACCACATAAGCAAAAAGAAAAAAGCCAGAAGTGGTGCTGTGGCTCAAGTGGTAGAGTGCTAGCCTTGAGCTGAAGAACTGAGGGACAGTCCAGGCCCAGAGTTCAGGCCCCACAACCGGACCATCCCCCAAAAAGAAAGCAAGCAAGCAAGCAAGAAAGAAAACTGCATACTACTTTCTACAATGAGAATATTAACCTGTATTTTGACCAAGAGAGTACAAAATTTCCTTTCCTCCACACTCTCACAACATTATTACCTTCTGAGTTTTTTAAAGGGCAGGTTTTTACTATGTGCAGTACCCCAGACTGGCCTTAGAATCAAATCCTCTTACTCCAACCCCCTAAATGCTTGGAATTACAAGCCTTTACCACCACACCTGGCTTCTTTGATTTTTTTTTGATAAGCGTTATAATAGTTATGAAGTAGTATCATAGTAATTTTGAGTTGCATTTCTCTAATGACTTCTGTTCAGAAAGCATTAAGCCAGCGTAGAAGTGGTATCAAACACAAATTTGTAAACCCACTGGTGATTTTCAGGGCTTTTTGGAAAGCAGGTCTATTCAGAACTTTTGTCCATTTTAAATCAAGTTTCTTGTTAATCTCATCTTTAATATATCTATACAAAATGAATACTTAATTCAATATAGTAGAAAGGAAAAATTAAGCAACTCCTAACATTTTTCACTTTTCAATAAAATGATATTGCTTAAATCAATTTCTGTTTATGCTTGAGACTATACTACTCAATTTGGTTAAACCTTTTACAAAGCTTTATATACTTTGTTTATTTTATGTTGATTGCTCTTTCCAAATCCTGCGTGTCTAATTTTGGTTTCTTTCAGTCTCATGTAGTTCAGATTTCAAACTGAAGAATGAATGGAAGGAAACAAACAAAAAAAGAGTTACTCTCATCTGATGATGCCTCTACAAGAATGAGGAAAGAGTTCATCCTGCTAAGGATTTATGATAGAATTTCAAAAAGAGAATTCATTCTTCTAGGTTTTCCCTATCTTTGTGATGTACCTTAAATTATATAAAGCAAAATATACTGCTCAGATACTCTTACGTTTTATCAGTTTTGTACATTTTCATATGGACTTCACATCTGTCTACAACATTCCTTCTTTATAATGTCCCTGATATTTTTACACTATCAAGACATAAGATAACCAGTTTGATTTACAGCATGAGAAGTTATCCTCCTGGCTTCCCTAGAAGCAGAGCATGGTCAATAGATAACATTACTTCTGGTTGCTCACCACATGTAATGGTTTCTGTAATACATTTTATTTAGCATTTAAAAAACTGTTGGTTAAAATCAAAGTTCATTCATAAAAGTTTGTGTTAAGTTTTTCACAAGTTTTATTTCTCTTAATTCTTAAGATAACATTTGCTATAATGCTAATATTATTACCATTTAAGTGTTGGGAAAAATTGCAATTAAAGGCACTAAGGGCATGGTCCAAATACACAGTGAGGAAGAAAATGAGTAAGTTTCCAAAAATTTTTCAGCAATACAGAAAAGGTAGGTAAAAATCTCACCATTCTTTTACACTCTCAATTCAATATTCATATTGCTCAAGAAATAATAGCATAGCAATTATTGCCCGTGATGATTGTTTTCTGTCACAATTTGTCTTCAACACAGACTGTGTTGGTGACATTGCGTTATCATGCACAGAATTGAACTTATACATTGAGTTTCAAAGACAGCCATATTTCTTCTGTCCTACAGTTCCATTTTTCTTTTTAAAAAATACCAAAACTTTTAAATATCATCACTTTCTGTCTTTTAGAATCCAAAAGAGAAATAAATTCACATTTAATTTAATAAATTCACCTTTACTTTTAAAGCAAGGTGCTTTAAAAGTAGGAGATGATAAAAACAGGCCCCCATGAAGTAAATTTTCTTCTACTTTTAAAATTATTCTGAAAACCTTGTGCTGGTTGGTCACTCTTGTAATCTTGTTTACTTGAGATATCTACTCAGGAGGCTAAGATCTGTGGATAACAGTTGGAAGCCAATCAGGGCAAAAACATTTTTGAGATTATTTTTCAAAAAATTTAATGAACTAGGAAAGAGCCAGGAGTGGAAATGTAGCTCATATAGTAGTTCACCAATCTAGAGAGGAAAGGCCTACCAAGACCTTAAAGCCCTGAGTTCAAATTCTGAGCACTCCAACACACTTGTGTGCACACGTGCACACACACACATTTATTCAAAATACCTTCATGTCAGTGTTTTGCATTTATTTATTTGTTAATGAGATTATATGGATAAAATAAGGGAAATTAACTCTTCAATCTCAGAACATTTTTATACATTTTTTTATTTTAAAAATACTGCACAGAGGGGTGACATTTACATGAGCAAGGTAATGAGTACATTTCCTAACAAGCATTGTTACCTGCTCCTTTATTTTCCCCCACCATCCCTTCTCTCCCACCTCCACAAGTACACTCCACTCCTCCTCTCTCCTTCCCCTGCATAAATTGTAAAATTCATTTTCAACATAATGTCTCGTGCATCTCATTGTTACAATGGGTCAACCCGTATCCCTATTTAAGCATTTTGTTGTTTTCTTCTTCTCCCCAAATTAGAGAAACGTATATACAAGATGTAGGTGCACCAACTCCAAATACAGTGAAAAAAGGGGTTATAGCGTGGTTGAGGAACATATAAAGAAACAAAAAAAAATCACATGGTACAGTATAAGTATGTTAGAAATAATAGCAAGATACAATCACTTATGTACCTATCTTGGCATTCATTTAGCTTAACATCATCTTATCTGGTCAAATGCACATAGTTTTTGACATTTTCTGATAATCCCAGACATATATTAGTTATTGAAAATAAGAGGAACCATGGGACCTATGTTTCTTTGGAGTTGGCTTACTTCACTTAATAAATTTTTTCCAAATCTTTCCATTTCCTAAAAATTGGGCAATGTCATTATTTCTGATGGAGGCATAGAATGCAATTGTATATATTTACCACATTTTCTTGATCCATTCATCTACTGAGGGGCATCTGGGTTGGTTCCATATCTTAGCTATGGTAAATAATGTTGCAATAAACATAGTTGTGCTGGTAGTTTTAATATGGTCTTATTTGCGATCCTTTGGGTAAATGAACAAAAGTGGGATTGCTGGGTCATAGGGGAGCTTTATGTGGAGTCGTTTGAGGAAACTCCATACTGCTTTCCAAAGTGGTTGAAGAAGTTTACACTCCCACCAAGAATGCAGTAGGGTTCCCTGGTGGCCCCATCCCCTCCAGCATTTGTTGTTGTAAAAATATGGATTGCTTCACGAATTTGCAAGTCATCCATGTGCAGGGACCATGCTAATCCTCTCTGTATCATTCCGATGTTAGTGTATGGGCTGCCGGATTAAGCAAAGAACATTTTTTATATAGAAGGTGTAATTGATTTTCTTAGTCAATTCCACAAAAAAGTAAGTTCAAAAGAATTGTCATGAAAATTTTAAATCATGCAGTTCTTACATAAGCACACATTTTTGATGTTGGCATAATTTGTGGAGGGGAAGGGGAAAATGTTTAAATAGGGATACAAGTAGACCCATTGCAACAATGAAAGGAACTTTACAACTTTGGCATCTCTACTACTGCCATACCTGCAGATTGTAACTTGATTGCTTCTTTTGAGGTAAGTATCACTATGCCTGGGTCTGCTTGGACTGTGGTCCTCCTAACACAAGCAAAACACATAGCACCTATCAAACTCTAACAGAGTTTCTGAAACTTTTTTTTTTTTTTTTTTTGGTTTGGGCTTGCCTGGAACTGCAATTCTCTAATCTCTGTTTTCTAAGTAGATAATATTACAGGTTTGAGCCACTTTATCCAGTAAAAGTATACAATTTCAAGATATCTTGATATTGCCTATATTTGTGCTTAACATATATAGCTAACCTTAATTTTCTCCCTCTTTTGTTTAGTACTCTGAGTTGAAAACATTGACTTTCTTAATATACACGGCTTTGTTTTGGGTGGAATCCCATCACAATCCAAAAAATCTCCCAAAAGTTTATGTCGAATCATGGAAAAGAAGGCTTCAGGTTGGAAAAAAAAAAAAAAAAACAATGATCCTTAACTTATAATTGCAGTATACTTATAGTGTTAGTCAATACTTTGTGAAGTATGAGAAGAGAAGGAAGACAGAAATGTGAAAGATGTCAGGTCTCTGGAATTTCTGTAGTTGTCACTTCATGTTATATTCTTCCTTAAAACTTGCTTTATTAAAACCCTCTGGGTGGATATTAGTTGGACTGTTTGGTAACCTTACCCAAGAAATGAAGCTGAGGGCTGGGAAGGTGGCTCAGTGGTAGAGCGCTTGCCTTGCATACATGAGACCTGGGTTCGATTCCTCAGCACCACATAAGCAAAAAGAAAAAACCGGAAGTGGCACAGTGGCTCAAGTGGTAGAGCGCTAGCCTTGAGCTGAAGAGCTGAGGGACAGCACCCAAGCCCAGAGTTCAGGCCCCACGACCGGACCACCCCCCAAAAAATGTTTGGGCTGGGAAGGTGGCTCAGTGGTAGAGCACTTGCCTTGCATGCTCGAGGCCCTGGGTTCGATTCCTCAGCACCACATAAGAAAAAGCCGGAAGTGGCGCTGTGGCTCAAGTGGTAGAGCGCTAGCCTTGAGCTGAAGAGCTGAGGGACAGTGCCCAGGCCCAGAGTTCAGGCCCCATGACGGGACCCAAAAAAAAAAAAATGAAGCTGATTTTAGAAGGCTGATGATTTGGTAAATAAAGGAATAATGAGAATGAGCACTGATATTGTCACAGAATGAGCCAACAAGGTTCATTGCTGAACAGCAAAACAAAGCAGTTTCAATACCGATGATGCACATTCGAACATATATAGATAGATACATATATGTATACATATACAAACATACATGAAAAAGTATATATCCAGTAGAATATAGAGAGAAAGTTGGTGCGACAATTATTAAACTATATCAAACTGGTTGCAGGAAAGGTCCAGTAAAATATCAATAGTTTAGCATAGATTTTGCATAGATTTGTAAAGGATGAAAATTCTTTCCTCATTTTATACTTTACAAATATTTTAGTACGTTTTAAGTTTTTTTATATTGTAGTTGGAGCACCTATATAATGCTGAGAATTGGAATTACATAAAGTATGCAACATGAATAGGCCAGCCAGTATAGGAAAGTTCATGAGATTCTTATTTCCAATTAACCACCAGGAGAAATGGAGTTCCAGTTCAGATTTTATGTAGAGCACTGGCCTTGAACACAAAAGCACCAGTCAGGCTGTGAGTTTAAGCCCTAGGATCTACAGAAACAAAAACACAAAATATAACTTGGAGTTAGATATTTAATAATGAAGCACTTTTATGTACTCTACATTGTTAGAAAGACTAGATTTCTGTGTTAGCTTTATAACCTATCATAATAAGTGATATTGTCCATTTATTAAGCAGAAAGGCTTACTCAGATTTATAAGTTTGAAGGTTTCAGTGTAAGTGTATGTTCAGTTGGTTTTATTGCTTTGGTGGCCTGTGACAAGACAATGTCAAGGTGAGGAGTATGTCAAAAAGAAATGTTTTTGACCTAGAATGATTAAAAGAGAAAAGAAGAAAGTAGATGAGTGTGCATGTTCTCAGAGGTTTCACTCTGAAGAACTTAATCTCCAGAAGAACTATTCAGGTATTCTCCACAGTCTGGGAGGAAATGGAAAGTCATTTTTCTTTAACACATAGGTCTTTCTGGGGCATTCTAAATTCAAATGGCAACGTCCTGACCAATGATAACGAATTGTCCAGGGGTGGAAGCAAATAGATATTGCTATAAATTCCAATCAGATCTCAGCAGACTAAATATTTTATGGAATTCCTATTAAAATATTTTCTTGCAGACTGACTGGGTCTTCATACTACATATTTGTATATCTGTATGTATGTGTGGGTTTGAATAAACTAATATAGCAATGTGGCAAATTAAAGTATTAGTAAGGCCTTTCTCTTCTCATATCATGAAAGCCTGCCACAATTCTCAATCAAATCTCATTCAAGATTCAAACATTAATGCTCTCTCAAAAGTTCTGTATGCAAACCCAGGTACATTCACTTCATTTAAGACGGCAATGATATATGAAAATTTTAAGTCTACCATGGAAAAACTTATATTAAGCAAAGTTAGCCAGGCCCAAAGAAACTTAGGTCCCATGGTTTCCCTTAATTGCAATAACTAGTATATGTCTGAGTCATGCAGAAAACGTCAGATAAGTTGATGTTAGGGAAATGAACCCTAATATATGTATTCAAATGTTTTTTTTTTTCTTTCAGGTGATTGTTTCTAACACATTTATAAGATTATTTCTTTGTTGCTTTGTATGTCCCTCCCCCATGGTATAACCCCTGCTTTCACTGTATTTGAGGTTGGTATAATTTGTGAAGGGGAAGGGAAAAAAGAAATGTTTAAATAGGGGTACAGGTGGATCCATTCCAACAATGAGATGTACAAGTCGTTATATGGAAAAACGAACTTCACAACTTTGGTGGGGGCAGGGAGGAGGATTGGGTGGAGGGGCAGGGGAGGGAGAATGGGAAGGGATGGGAAGGGGAAACAAGGAGGAGGCTACAATGCTCGATAAGAAATGTACTCATTATCTTGCCCATGTAATTGTAACCCCTCTGTACAGTATTTTCACAATATAAAAAGAAAAAAAGAAAAATTTAAGTCTTCCAATTACGTTGTCACCAAGGAAACATGTACAATATTTCCTTAAAAAATATCTAGATTGTAGAACACTTTAGCCAGAAAATTGAAGGAGTATATATTATAGGATTTAATTTAAATATTTAGTCACTGAAATGGATATTCTATATCCACAACTTAGAGCCCCTTCAAAATACATAATTGCAAACCTCATCTATTACCATCTTCCGTGAAGACAGTCCTTGCTGAAAACGAACCAAATGTGGTAAACCAATTAAAATGTACGCCTTTGTCAAATGCTGTTGTTTTAAAGCATGGAAGTGATAGAACAATTAATGCCAGTGAACAGCTGGTTCTAAGGAGTATGGAAAGTGATTACTTTGGACTCTAGGTGGAAAAATCCACAGGTGTTTCAGATTGTGCTTCATTTTGGCATTTGTGAGATATATTTTGGAAAGCACAATGAATGAAAGCATGTTGTTTTATAAAGATTTGCTGACTGACAAACCAGGGAAAGAAAACTTATTGAAATGTTTCAAATGAGAAGACAGACAATAGGGTGGGTAAGATGTGGTATGCAGCTTTAAATACAGACTGAAGTAAACCAAAGAATGGGAAATTTTTTTCCTTAAAAGCTTTCTGGGTGTATTGTGCTATACATTATAATGATGAAATGATCATTTCTTTGGAAAAGTCATGAAAAAACATTGTCACCTGTTGAATTTCTTTATAAAGTGAATCTTAATTGACAAGAATGAAGAAATTTAAATATGTTAATAAAACATCATCAAGTATTACTTTAATTTTTGATTAAAAGTTAAAGCAAACTGACAGACTATTAGTCCATTAAGATTCATGTTTTCTGTCATATTTATTTTCCTTTTGTTCCTCTTTTTTGGGTGGTGATATTTTTTTCAGAAAGGCAACCTAGTCTTAACCATTACCCACAAAATTTATGCTGTCATAGAATCAGAGTTTTTTTTATTAAATTAAGACAATAGTAGGCTCATTTTATGCCAAACCAAAATATAAACACCAAAACATTTTTCACTAAAAAACCACTCATAAAAAATCATGAGGGGGAAAAGGCTCAGGAGGACCGGTCTAATCCAGGCGCAGGAGGAAAGGCTTAGGAAAACACCTGAACATGTGGCATCCCAATGCATGGCAGCCGGTGCAAAATGCAAGTATCCCTTACATGGGGTGCCCTGGAGGTTCCAATCCTGGGTGTCCACCTCCTTTGTGCCCATTACCTGTAAATCTGGCCATTCCTCCTGGTCCTGTTCCCGGGTGTCTCTTTCCTCCAGGACCTCCCCAGGGGAACCCAGCTTTCCCTCCATGTGGGCCCTCTTACCCTGTGCCACAGCCACAGTATCCAGGATACCAACCCTCAGGTCCTTACTCTCCCCATGCCCACCACCTGCACCTGGCATATGTTCTGTGAATCCCCTGGCTCCTGGCATAGGCCCACGAGCCCCAATGGACAAGAAAACACTGAAGAAAATGAAGAAAACACATAAAAAGATGCACAAACACCACAAGCATGGCAAGCATTCCTCCTCTTCCTCCTCCTCTTCCAGCAGTGACTCTGACTGAATTCAGGGCCTGAACCCTCCCCTCAAGTCTCACCAGTTTTGCTCTCATCAAGCTTCTGCTGTGGTGTTGTACTAGGGGGAAATTAGCCCTCTGATCC